ACACCATCATCACCGTCATTTTTGATTGGACGAAATGGAGGCTCAGAAGGTACCCTGGGCTGCCTAAATTCACACTTCCATTAAAAGACTTAAAGAATAACTCAGGGAGAAGGCAAAACTCAAACAGGGGGAAAGAACAAACATGGATTCTAGTGGATGACAAAACCAGCTGAAGCTCAAGACAGGAAAACAGGGACACCTGGGTGGCTCAGTCGTTAAGCGTCTGCCTTCGGCTCAGGTCATGATCCCGGGGTCCTGGGATCAAGTCCCGCATCGGTCTCCCTGCTCCTTGGGAAACCTGCTTCTCCCTCTCCTGCTCCCCCTGCTTGTGTTCCCTCTCTCGCTGTGTCTCTCTGTCTGTCAAATAAATAAAGAATTTAAAAAAAAAAAAAGACAGGAAAACAAATGGAATATGTGAATGTTAGTTGAAAATGTTCTATTTTTATTCACGAAGGATTGAGGCAGTTCCAAGGAAATGAAACCCCTCTGTGCATGGCCAGGAAGAAGCCACACCTAGCTCCCTTCTGTCTTGCAGCTTCTAAGCTGCTAAGGCTGAGGAGTTGACCTGAAATTAGTGCAGCCACAGAGAAGTCCACCGCCTCCGGGACACAAGGCTTCCCCATGCCTGGAAGACGAATGAAAACTGTCCTGGCTGTCAGTAGGAAAGGAGAACAAACCAACCATTGGCTCTTTAACTACAGTAGTGCTTATGGAAATAGGCGTGATGCAGACTAATCAGCAGTCAAGTTTCAGTTTGATTTTGCTAAGAATAGTCCCTTAGCTTACCCTCTTGGAGAAGCTGCCTACATCCTAATTCTGTCCTCATTCTTAAATCTACCAATGATGGCTTGTTGCTAGTTCCATCTGCTATCACCACAATCTCCAGTTGACACAGAGATTGAGATACGGCTGTAGGCTTATTTATTTATTTATCTCCCTATCTCCCCTTTTCTCTCTAGACCCCACTTCTACTTCTCTACCTCCCCATATGCAACCACTCATGTGAAATTTATATACACATATACCTCTTATCTGGATGTTTTACAGTATGTATTGCTGCTTTATGTACATGTATTGAAATGTATGTAAACGGTACTATGTAATATATCTCATTGTTTATATGCTATAGCTTATCCTGTTTGAAAGCTCTCATACATACTGTTTTGTGTACGTTGAATCTACTGCTTTTTTTTTTTTAAGATTTTATTTATTTATTTGACATTGAGAGAGAAAGCGAGAGAGGGAACACAAGCAGGGGGAGTTGGGGAGGGAGAAGCAGAATCCCCATGGAGCAAGGAGCCCGATGCGGGGCTCGATCCCAGTACACTGGTATCACGACCTGGGCCAAAGGCAGACGCCCAACAACTGAGCCACCCAGGTGACCCTGAATCTACCGCTTTTTATTGCTGCCCAGTGTACCCCATTATGAACACCCAAGTTGACCCCAACACCACAGAATTATTGCAATAACCATTATGAACTTGTCTAAGAAATTCCTCGGGATATATACACAGGGGTAGATATTGTTGGGACAGAGGGCTATATAGACATAATTTAGCTAAGCCGTGCCTAACTGATATCCACAGTGAGGACACCAATCTGAGGGGTGGGTTCCAGGGTGGAAGCCAGGGTGTGAATCATGACTACACTACTTGTTAGCTGTGTGACCTGAGAATATTACCTAACATGTCTTAGCCCCATTTTCTCACTTATGAAATTAAAAAGTATGGTACCTATCTCATAAAGTTACTATGAGAATTATAATAATAGATTAAAGTGCTTAGCACAGTATTTGGTACTTGGTAGGTAAATAAATATTATCACTGATTATCACCCTCTCCCCCCCAAGTATGAGATTTCTGACTCCCCAGTGGACTCTGAATCTGCACACTGGAAGGTCAGGAGAGCTAAGCCTTCTCACTGAACAGAGTAAGAGTAGCGACATCAAGTTTCATGCCCAAGGAGGTTGCATGTTTCCGGAGGAGGAAATTGAATGTGGCTTTTGGGTTCCCAGGTTACTGCTCCTTTCCCCACATCAGAATGTCCATGACAGTGTTGATATTCCACTCGGGCAAAAAAATGAATGATTACTGAAAAACAAAACCTGCCCATGAGTATCTGTTCACACCTAGTACTGTATGGAACTTACATACTTCCTCTCAATATGTCATGGTCTTCTGGGAATTTTCTCTAGTCATGGTGATGGGTCTGTACCCACTTGCAGGCACGTACACTGTCAGAGTCACACTGACCTGCAGCCATGGAGCCTGCAGAAGGTGACTGAATCACATGGGGTCAGCCCATTCTCGAGCCCAGCAAAACCAGTGTTGCCCCTTGATAATCTTGTAAGGAAAGCAGACACAGAGGTGCACCACTGACACAGTCCTTCAAGAAAGAACCAACTATGTCTGTAAGGAGTGTGGTTGCCTGGCAGCTTCCAGCTGCGGTACTTTCAACCATCTGTCTCAGCTTCGGAGCCAAGTGCACAATGATATAAACAGTGCTGACCTAATGAGTAAACCACAGTCGGAGTACTAGGACCTGGCCATTTTATCACCACATGGGACTCCTCTGATGGGCAACCTTTACTCCCGAGCTCTCCGTGAGGTTGGCCAAGACTCGGCCAGATTTGCATTCTGGTCTGAGGCTCTCCCTGTCCAACTCTCCTTTCTCACTCTTTTCTCTTTCACAGGTATTCCTCCCCAGTAAACCTACTGTACCACTGATTCCATCTCAGAGTCTGTGTCCAGAAGGACTCACTGACACAGCAAACAAAATACTACACATATTTATACGGTGCTCCCCATTCCCATGGGATAATCTGACTTCAAGAAATGCATTACTGGGCACTGTAATGACACTTGATACGTGAACACGTGAGTTTTGAATTGCACATCTTCACCAACCAAAAACGACAGGGATCTCTGAAAACAATTGACAGGTACTACTCTATATTATCTATTTTGTGATGTGATCCAATGTTTATTAAATATGAAACATTTGTTCTACACAAGCTATTCTGCTTTGATACATTCTGTTTGTGGTTCTATCAATATGTTTTCTAAATTTAATATACATATTAGCTGGGAATGAAGATGAACAGACTGAAGATCAGAGAAGGTGTCAACATGTCAATGTAAATCATTTTATTTTAACCTTCAGATTTTGTTTAAAGGGCCAAAAATCTAATGTGTTACCACAAACTATCATTTCATACATTCTTAATGTATAAACATAAATGGAAGTCAATTTAAAGCAATGTATCTCAACCAGGGCTGATTTTGCCTCCCAACAGACATTTGGCAACATCTAGAGACATTTTTTGGTTGTCACAACTGGGCAGGGGCAGGGGAAGAGGGGCCGGGACGACGGGACATGCTACTGGCATCTAGTGGAGAGGATAGCAATGCTGCTAAATACCTTACAAGGCCCAAAACAGTCCCCACAACAAAGAACTATATGGCCCAAAACGTCAAGAGTTCCAAGGTTGAGAAAACTTGGTTAAAATTATAGAAAAGTGTCCGATGTCCCGCGTGTTTTATTGAAAACTAAAAGTAAAAGAAATATTCTGCCCACAATCTCATAGTGGTATTTTGTTGTTGTGCTAATCAATATGTCCCCATTCCCTTAAAAAAAGTAATCCTGGAACACAGAATAAAATAAATGATTACAATTCATTTGCCCCTTATACAAGGAAGCCATGTTTTTAAGCATATTATTCAAATATCTTAATGAGACAGAAATGCAGGACGTACATTAGAGATCACCAGAGTTCCATAACTGTCACCAAATCCTTAGGGTTTCTTTTTTTTTTTTCCATTTGCTCATATTCCTCCTGTTACCTTGGTGAAATTTTTCAGGTTTGAGCATACCCTACTTTCAAGCATCCATTGCTATTATTAGTCAATGTATAATACACATACTGTGATTTTTTAACATAACAAGTTATGCTAGGTAAAGCCCTGTATTGAGCAGGGCAAGGCACTTTTTCCGTTAACACATGTGGCCATGTGGTAAATAATAATAAAAATTTTTTAAATTGCGCTTTTAGGATAATTGACATTTAAGCTGATCATCTGAGAGCCAAGAATATAGTAGTAAGTTTAGATACTATTAGTACATAAATCGATGCCTTAATTTTCTCATGGTTAAAGAATTTAAAACGAAAAAACTTGGGGCTCCATTTGACGGCCAAAGGACGCCCCCTGCTGAACAGAAGGGAGAAATAACGTTGAAACAGTTTAAATTCACAGGGCTCTTACACTGCATTACACCCATCACTACACGCATTTCCATACCGCTCATCCGAAAAGCTGAGTGTAAACCCCACATTTTATTTGGCTCAAAAAAAATGTGAGGTTGAATTGTGACTTGCACATTAGAAAGGTCCTATTCTAAAAGATCACCCAGAAAATCTCTAAGTATTAGCAGCATGACATGACAACTAACACTCTTAACATTAACAAACTGAGCTTTACTTAACACTGTATTTTTGTTCTATCAAGTCCCTTCGCTTTAATGATATGTGTGTGACTCTCTATCAGGGAGAGCCAGTTATCCTTTCAGTCAGTAGTTACTATCGATCCTAGAAGTTTAAGTTCTCAAAAGTGACAGTAAATTGCCAGCCGACAAAAATAATTCGGATTAATTAAACAGGAACCAAGGAGTCTAAGGGCAAGAAAAGTTCGTTCATCTCCCAGTCTCGCCCTCCTGATCCAGAACCGGTTGTAAATTAAATATCCCCTTACTTTGCAGAAGCCAAAACGCTGGTCTGAATGGTACCCAACCCAGGACACTCAACCTAAAATATATCTTTGCAGCTCCACTAAATGCCTGTCAAACCCTGAGAGGTGTGTGTGTGTGTGTGTGTGTGTGTGTGTCTGTCTGTCTGTCTGTCTGTCTGGATGTGTTAGCGTGAGCCTGTGCGCCTCGGTCTCCGTCTCCCTAAGGCCGAGGCCGGAGGCTCCGGGAAGCAGGTGTCGTGGGGCACCTGCTCTTACCTGGGCTCCGGCGAGAAGGCAACCGCCAAGCAGCAGCCACCCCCAGACGTAGGGCGATGCTCCCGGGCCGGCCATGCCCAGACCAGCCCGAGCGAGAAGCAGGGACGCTCTCCCGGAGCCCGGAGAGGCTCCCCACTCGCAACTTGGGCCGGTGCGGGGCAAACTTGTGGCCGGGAGCGCGGCGCAGCTGGGGCGGCTCGGAGCGCGTGTCGGATCTCGGTCCCGCGCGCCGAGGCCCGCGCCTTGGTCGGGTCTGCAGGGGAGAGCGGTCCCGCAAGGCCCGCGTGGGAGGAGGGGGCGGGCGGACCCTACGGATCCCCGCGCGCCGCCCGTGGTTGCAGGACGGGCGGGGAAGCGCTCGCGCTCCTGCTCAGAGTCACCGCGTCCTGCAGCCCAGGGGACCCGAGGGCAACGGATCCCGAGCGCTGCTGTCGCCACCCTCAGCTCGCGCCGTCTCTGCTTCCGTCCGCTCTGTACCGGGTTCCGACCCCCTGTCTCTAGGGGCGCCCTGGGTCCTCAGGGAGTGGTCTGAAAGTTCCCTGCTGTCCAGCCGCGGACTGACTACCAGTCACGGGAGGCCCTGGGTAGTGTGGTTGAAGGCTTCGGAGGCCAGGCGGGTGCTGCACCTGCGGCTGTGTGCGGAGCTGTCTCCGCAACCTTCTCAAGTTCTCCGATTCCCTTTCTCCTACCCACTATTAACAGCGCGCGCGCGCGTGTGTGTGTGTGTGTGTGTGTGTGTGTGAAAGAGAGAGAGCGAGAGATTGAGAGAGAAGGAAGGAGGGAGGGGATTCTATCCCAGCAGAAACTTCTGGGTCAAAATTTCTTTGAATCATTTTGTGAGTTTGGAATCAGGGTTTCATTGAAAGACAACTAATATTCGTTTATAGGTGTGTGTGTGTGTGTGTGTGTGTGTGTGTGTGTGTGTGTGTGTGTGTTTAGATATCTTCATTTGGGACAAAGCCTGTTCCTTTATTTTTCTTATAGGCGTAATCATCAAGATGCCAGAGAACTTCTTTAGAGACACTGAGTCTGGGAATATTTAGTCTCTCAGATCCTGGATCAAGATCTGATCCAATTGGGAAAAAACACAATAATTCCCTCTCCTCTTGACAATGAGGATCTGAGGTTTGTCACCATTAGCTTTCATTTGAGTGCCAAAGTGTGAAAACTGGGTTTGCTTTTAAAACTTCTAGATTATTAATGGTTGGCCACCCTAAAACACTAGAAAGGGATAATTTTTATTTCTATTTCTACATGTCTGGAATGTTCACTCCTATCTCTATTTGAATAGGATTGTTTATATTATGTGTATGTATTGTGAACAATCTCGTGCTTTTTGGAAGAAGCAAAATCTAAATTATACAACATATGCACAGGCACACACTAGTAAAATTACCAAGTAAAATTCACTTTCTACCTATTCTATCAAAGATTTATAGCACTATCTATGGTGACTATTACCTAAAGTCTTCAGTTTGATTAAATTACTTAGAACTACTAACTGTTACATTATCTTACTCAAGCAAGAAAATAATGGTAATATTATAAGACTGATAGATTAGATATCTATCAGTATAAAGCATTAAGTGCTTTATTACGTTGCAGTTACTCTTTTAAGTACTTTACATAAAATTAACTAATCTTTCCATTAACCCTGTGAGATAGGCATTATTGTTATCCATATTTATAGATGAGGAAACAGTAAGTCACTTGCCCAAGGTCAAGGTAGTCTATCATTGTGGCACTACTAATCATGTGTTCTATTTGTGCAAAAGTATTATTACAGATTTTTTCCATACTCCTTGGGCCTCACAAAGCCAGAAACACTTTTCCAGCCAGTTTTTATTTTCATTTTTTTGTTTTTTCATCCTCCTTTAACCAGAGAATAATTTACTGTGCATTATGGCATTGGTTCTGAGCCAGGGACAATTTTGTCCCCCAAGGGACATCTGGCAATGTCTAGAGACAGTTTTGGTTGTGTCACATTTTTGGTGTGTCACACTATACATTACTAGCATGTAGTGGGTAGAGGCCAATGATGCTGCTAAATATCCCACAATTCACAGGACAGTTTCTTGTGACAGAAATATCTGTCCCAAAATGTTAACACTGACAAGGTTGAGAAACTCTGCATTACAGCAAAAGGGTACCCAAAATTGTTAGCTGTTTATTAACTAGTCAATAAAATAAGATAGGCCTATACGTTGGAACTTACAATCAATTTGTGTGAAACTTATGCTATTCAAATCATTCATTCCTACAAAAGGTAAAAATCAACAGGCTCTAGACTAGAATATTCAAAGTTTTGAAGATATTAAATTATGCTAATTGAAAAATTTGCATAATATAAAAAATAATTACACAAACTGCTGTGATATCATTAGGATATTTGTTGACTCTTGTCATAAAATATATAATTGCTGATATTATGGGTAAACTTGGAATAATTAGTTAAGATTAGTTGTAAACTGATAACTTAAAAAAGAAAAAAACCTTTAGGGGCGCCTGGGTGGCTCAGCTGATCAAGCATCTGACTCTTGATTTCGGCTCAAGTCATGATCTCAGGGTCATGAGAGCAAGCCCTGCACAGGGCTCTGCACTTAGCAGGGAGTCTGCTTGAGATTCTCTCCCTCTCCCTCCACTCCTCCCCCTGCTCATTCTCTCTCTCTTTCTCAAATAAATAAATCTTAAAAAAAAAGCCTTTATGCAAAGTCGATGGAGTAACTTACCCAACAAATCTCTTTGCAAATGACATCTCGTCAATCCTTAAAATCAATGAAAGACAATGACAGTTCTGATCATCCCCATTCACAAATGAAAAAGAGGATCTTGATCATTAAGGGACTCAATCCCAAGAAAAACATAGCCCCAAGGAAATAATGTGATTTCTAGCAGTTTTATTTTGTGTTTTGCTATTGTTTATTTGTTCATTGCTGTCTCCTGTAGCTTCACTATGTCACATACTGACCTGTATCATGATTAGCTGGCGTGCTTGTTAAGAATATGTTTATAGCAGCAATGTCCACAATAGCCAAACTGTGGAAAGAGCCCAGATGTCCATCACAGATAAATGGATAAGAAAATGTGGTATATAGATACAATGGAATATTAGGCAGCCATCAAAAGGAATGAAATCTTGCCATTTGCAACGACGTGCATGGAACTGGAGGGTATTATGCTGAGCGAAATAAGTCAATCAGAGAAAGACATGTATCATATGACCTCACTGCTATGAGGAATTCTTAATCTCAGGAAACAAAAATGAGGGTTGCTGGAGTGGTGGGGGGTGGGAGGGTTGGGGTGGCTGGGTGATGGACATTGGGGAGGGTATGTGTTATGGTGAGCACTGTGAATTGTGTAAGACTGTTGAATCACAGACCTGTACCTCTGAAACAAATAATACATTATATGTTTAAAAAAAAAAAAGAAGAAGAAGATAGCAGGAGGGGAAGAATGAAGGGGAGGGAATCAGAGGGGGAGACGAATCATGAGAGACAATGGAGTCTGAGAAACAAACTGAGGGTTCCAGAGGGGAGGGGGTGGGGGGATGGGTCAACCTGGTGATGGGTATTAAAGAGGGCACATTCTGCATGGAGCACTGGGTGTTATATGCAAACAATGAATCATGGAACACTGCATCAAAAACTAATGATGTGATGTATGGTGATTAACAACATAATAATAAAAAAATAAAATAAAATAAAAATGCACATTCTTGAGCTTCACCTCAGACCTGCTGAACCCCAACCTCCAGGGCTAGGGTTTGGAAAGCTACATTTTTCAAGTTCCGGGGTGATTCTCATACAAGATCAAGTTTCAGCAGCACTGTCTAGACTGATCAGTACACGCACTTGGTGGACTTACAGGCAGTTGTGAGGTCTGAGAGCCCAGTACTTGTCTTCCATAAAATGTTCACTATCCTCTGCAACGAAGGGGCAGGGGTCATGGGTCAACAGTCTACTTTGTAAGATGGAGATTTGGGGACAGTAGGCTGTTAGCCCAGCTTCCCCACAACTGCACAAGAACAGCCTTATTGTATGGAAGGCTGCTTTTGTTTCTGTTGTTGTTTTTCCATTTCTAAGTATAGGTATCTTTCCATGTTTTCAAGCTGTGCTTCTGTCTTTGTATTCGCTGAGGAGGACCAAAGGCTCTGAAGCCCTGCTTTGCTTTCTCAGGCTCCAGGGCTCCTTGCTGAGCTTCTCCTGAGCAGACCCACAATCACTGTCTCTAGGGACTAACTAGAGAAGCTTTATTCTGGGAGCAAAGATCCCTGCCATCAGCTGCTCTGTATTTGGGGAAAGGGCAACTAAAATGCTAAAATAATTAATTAAATTGAGATTAATTAATCAATGTAATTTAATTGCCTTAATGGCTTCTCTAAGTTCCTTCAAGCTTTTTGATCCCAAGCATGTGTGGTTTTTGCTGCTGTTGTTTTATGTGTCTGTAATTGTGTCTCCCTGTGTGTATCTGTGAGTGTGAGTGTGTGTGTGAGTCTGTGACTATGTGTGTTTGCAGTTGTTTTTGCTTTTAACATTCCGGGAATTTCTCAAAAATTTTAGTGTACCAATCTCATTCTTTGATGTTTTCCAATATGATGAAGTTTGATTCTTTAAAAATACACAGTTGACCTCTAAACAATGCAGGGGTTAGGGGCACCGACCCTTATTCAGTCAAAAATCTGTGTATAACTTTTGACCCCCCAAAAACTTAACTACCAATACCTTCCTGTTGGCCAGAATCTTACCAATAACGTAAACAGTCAATTAACACATATTTTGTATGTTATATGTATTAAATACTGTATTCTTACAATTAAGTAAGCTAGAGAAAAGAAAATGCTATTAAGAAGATCATAAGGAAGAGAAAATGTATTTCCAGTGTTGTATTTATCAAAAAACATCCACATATAAGTGGACCCTTGCAGTTCAAACCATGATGTTCAAAGGCCAACCATATATACATTTTCTCTCATTCCAATGAAGCTTTCAACAGGAAGTAGAAATAAATCTATATTCCCAGCCCACCATCTTTTTCTGGAAACCCAAGGTAAAATACATATTTAAAAATTCTTAGTC